ATGATTCGCAATTACATCTTGAATCATCTTTCGAAGTTTGTTTAGGGTAATTTGCACGTTATTCTGGAATGCGGCCATCTTTCTCTCGATTTTATCTTGCCGATCTTTCAAAATTTGCACGCTCTGCTGCACGTAACGTTTATTGGCGGCATCGCCATCATCTACAGGCAGCGCTATCCGTCGAATCTTGCGCGATTTTGCGTCAAAGTCGGTAGCGACCATGCAAAGAGCGTTATCGTGCACGTAATTTCTGATTAATCCGCTCCATTGATAGTACGGTTCCGCACCGCCTCTTCCGAGCGATATACCAAACTTGTTGATCGGCATTTTGATGTTGATTGAACGGATCGCTGTCGCGCCATTTAATTTATAATAAGTCCAGCCTCGCGAAGTTCCTCGACAATCGACAAGATCTCGTTATCGTGATCGGTGTGACCCGTTAGGCGCGTAGCTTCGAGCAATCGAAGACGATCTACGAGCTCGTTGGGATCATCCCAATGAACATAGTCGATCTTGTTGTCGTTTAATGTCATGGCACGCGGTATACCTTTTCCAGGTTTTTTACCCGAAATCAACGGTGCGATTATTTCTGTGTACTTGTATCCCCTGTTGCCCTCTATTTGAGCGTGAGCATCTTTATGAGCATTTGTCATCAACAGAATGCTCTTGTACCCTTGCATATCATCCTCCATGTAGATATCGACATCGTGATATTTTTTAAAGATCAACTCGTAAAGACCGCGTGTGCCATTGTATCGCATGCCGTCGATAATTATGTTGTCCGCGTTGTCCACGTCAAAACGTTTATTACCGAGCATCATTCCATCGTAGCTGAAATAAACGCCGTACACGGTGTCTATACCGCTTTCTTCATCGCCACTCAGAACTGCCCCGACGTACTTTTGGTTCAATGGACCCAATTCATCTCGCAACGTTTCTTGACCCTCAGGTGTTTGCAACTTCTGTCGAACGGACGTCACGAGTGGGTAATTCGTGGTTTCGAAAATATCTTCGTTTGCGAGTGATTTGAGCATTGCGGGTTGTACGGAAGGCTCAGAGGTTATCAGTGGTTCATTCAATGGACCTTTCGATCGTTTTGTTTTACGCGGTTGTAAAATTTTGGTTATTTCGCTCAAATTAAATGGCACATTTATCGATCGTTTCAACGTAACCGGAGTTGACACCGTTACAGAGTCGTTAAACTAGGCGTTTGGTCGTTGTCGTTTGAGCTTCGGCTCTTCGTCTTCCCACGCCGTTTCATTCACAATCTGTGACACATCAGATTCTTTGCCAACGGTGTTTTTGGCAATCTGCCTTAGAGGCTCAATGATGGGCTTAAAGTGTCTCTCCAACGCGATATCTTCCTCCATTTTACCAGTTTTCAATGCGTGATACTTTTTGCGAATCAAATTGCTCGTTTTCGCAATTTGATTTGCTATCCTCTCGCGCTCTCTAATCTCATCGCTGCTGTCCATGTTGCGATAACGTTGTTCAATCGACCCGTCGACAACAACTAACCACGTTTCGGTATCGCAAAGTCGTTAAATCCTTTTCTGTATCGACCATTCGAAATCGCGCTGTCCTTGTCTATCACCACGAATCCGTACTTTTGTTGCCATCACGTATGACACAATTTACTGAAATCATCGTAAGACATATCTGTGTTTACGTGATCCTTGTATATGTGCTTCAGATTGGTACCATCCTGTTTAAACACAGTCAATAAATTCGCGTTGTCGCGTATAAGATCCTTCGGTATCTTCGCATACGTCTGACAAAGATAGAAAGAGTCAACGTCCGCGTCCCGCCCCATTGCAAAGTATTCTCTTATCGTATCCTGCTTGTCGCACGCCACGTCATCAAAGATAAAAATAGAATTCGGGAGCGCCTCGCTCGGCGGTATGACGTCACTGTAATTCGAGAACGTAAAATAGCCAATCTCTTCTATCGGTGTTAGTATATTCTCCAAATATCGATATTTCGGTTGTTGCAACGATTTCGAGTACACATACACGTTCTCGAAACGTACGCCGTGCGGACTTTCCAGCAAGCTTATCAAGACGTTTGTCTTGCCGCAATTCGACGGACCGCAGATGATACCGCGTATAGAAATCGGTAGCATGCCTCCATATTTGCGTACTTCTTTCGTTAACTGCATTCTATCGTCAAAGTTTGTCACTTTGATCGTCCGCGATTGTCGTAGGAACCGCATTTTACCTCCTCTACACAACGAATGAAAAACAATATCGAGAAAGCTGGCCTATTTATAAAGACGCGTAGAGCTGAGATGCTCAGTCGTTAAAATGGTTTTGCTCGTGTCGGATAACAGCGATATTTACGATTTAACCGCCGAGCAGTTAAAGTATATACCAAAGGTCATTCTACTACGACAGTTTTATAATCACATAGATTATTTATGGGATAAGCTTCCCGAACATATCAAGGCAGATTCGGAGGTTCAGCAATATCGACGCTGTTTAATACATTATAATTTGCCGTGTCAGCAAACGCACATCGACGGTCCGCCACCGTTGATAAAAAACTGCGGCTAATGCCGCCAAAGATATGCCGCGGTTTGTTGAATCGCGCGATAAACGCGCTTCCGATCGAATTACTTATCCCCGGCTATCAATTTTGTGGTCCGGGAACTCGCTTAGAAACACGATTGGCAAGAGGTGATCGGGGTATTAATCCATTGGACACAGCGTGTCGCGAGCACGTTATAGCCTACTCACGTAGCAACGATCTCGCAGAACGACACGTGGCAGACAATATACTCGCCGCGAAAGCGCGAAAACGTGTCACCGCGAACGATTCGACTTCGGAGAGAGAGCTGCGGCTACAGCCGTCTGGGCGGCCATGAAGGCTAAAACGAAACTCGGTATGGGTTTGAAAACGAAGAAAAAGAAGAAGACCAAGCGAATACTTCCGGTGGCGAAACGCGGCGGTATCCTAGCGATCCTGCCGTTATTACAGGTTCTCGGCTCGTTGGTCGGCGGAGCGGCGGGAGTCGCAAAGGCCGTGAATGATAACATGCCGCGCGACGTCAGCTAGAAAAGATGCAACGTCACAATCGCGCCATGGAAGGTCACGGACTTTATCTCGCTCCATACAAACGCAGACGGGGAGTCTCCAGAAAAAAAACGTCAAAGAGACGTTAAAAATCCCCAATGATGTAACTACCAATGTACAACTGCAACAATTGGCAAAACTTATGCGCATTCCATATTTTAGGGGTATTTTCATGCGCGACTCATTACCGATCGGCGGTATACGTCGAAACAAGAGCGGTATCGTGAATTTGGATAATACTGAGGGGCCGGGTACTCATTGGGTGGCGTACGCGAAGAGGGAAGATCATGCCATATATTTCGACAATTTTGGCAATCTTCGACCACCGAGAGAATTGGCGCAGTATCTAAAAAACAATGTAATAGAGTACAATCACACGCTTTATCAGCGATACGATCAGAGCAATTGCGGACAACTGTGTCTGCGTTTTTTACAGTCGGTTGACAATCAATTTAAAGACCGACGTTACGCTGTTTAATCTCAGTATTCATTCAAACATGTCACTGACATTTACGCTCACCGGCAAGAGCAGCATCCTCGCGGTAAGCTACTTTCCCGCCGTGGACTTGAGCGATGGCGATTACGAGCTCGGTCTAACAGATTTTGAAACCTTTCACACGATACCGAATGTAAATTTGTCGAACAATAAATTCTACTATGACGACGACGACAAGAAGGTTACCATTCCCGAAGGATCGTACGAGCTGCGTGATATAAACATGTATCTGAAACGCGTTCTTTTGTGGGACCAATCCAATAATGTCTCGACAAACGAAGATGAATCGCACCTATTGATTAATTATTATTCGTGCTAATAACAATACGATGAAGAGCGAGATCAAGTGCGCTTATCGGATAAATTTCACAAAACCGAACAACATTGGATCGCTGCTGGGATTTTCAGCGAATCGCGTGCTAGAGTCGCGACAATGGCACGAATCGGATGTTTCGCTAAATATCATCAATGTAAACATCGCGGGTGCGTACAGCAACGACAAGTACGTGCACATGATACACGAGTTTTCACCGAGCGTGCCTCCAGGATATAAGATATCGGAAACGCCGGCACAGATCATTTACTTTCCGATCATCGTACGGAGCATTTCGGACTTGACGCTTCGCGTCGTGGATCAAAACGGCCGATTGATTGATTTTCGCGGAGAAGAGATCACCATTAGACTGCATGTACGAAGAGGACGACTGTGGTAAACCGTGAGATGCTCATATACTGAACGAAGCTGAGCAGGTGCGACAGACAAGAAACAAAAAAACAATCCGATCGCCAAAGAAGAAACTCATTGCGTCGAACGTTGAATTTTTAAAATCATTGGGTTTTGTCGTACGAAATGGCTAATATCTTAAACATTGGAGGTGAACCGATCTTTGACGACAGCGTCGTCAAGATTGAAACACACACATACAATCCGTACGCCAACACAACGTTTGGACATAACGATGAGATAAAAATACCCATACAACAGCAGAATTTATACACGTTGCTGTGCGAGAGCTTTCTCTCTGTTGAAGAAAGATTGACGATAAAAAGAAAAAATGACGAGTCTATGGCAACGCTTGCGAATAATTGCGTGGCGTTCATGTTTGATGAAATTCGATATGAGCTCAATGGCGTGGAGATTGATCGCAACAGAAACGTTGGCATAACCAGTACCATGAAAAATTATGTATCGTTTACAAATGACAAAGCAAAAATTATGCAAAATGCTGGATGGGACATTTTATTCCCGGAGGGATATTTCAACTTTTGCGTGCCGCTCAACACATTGTTGGGCTTTTGCAAGGATTACAAACGCGTGGTTGTTAACGCTCGTCACGAATTAATTTTGATACGAGCACGCAGAGATAACAATTGCATTGTAGAAAATCCGGCGACGGAGCCGGAAATTGAATTGTTTAAAATACAGTGGCGAATGCCTTACGTCACATTAAACGAGATCAATAAGCTATCCATGCTACGGGCCTTGGAAAGCGAGCGATATCTTAGTGTTAGTTTCCATTCATGGGATCTGTACGAGTACCCCATGTTGCAGAGCACGACCAAGCATTCGTGGGCCGTCAAAACGGCGACTCAGCTGGAGAAGCAGCGGTACATTATCTTTGTGCTGCAGACCGGGCGCAAGAATATCATGTCGCAAGATGTTAGCATATTTGATGACTGTAACTTGACCAACGTGAAACTTTATCTAAACTCTGAATTTTATCCGTACGATGACATGAACCTGGATTTTGGCAAAAATCAATACGCCGTCCTTTTTGATATGTATGCGCGTTTTCGTAAAGCTTATTACGGATGCGACTTCGATACGCTTTGCACCGTGGTTACATTCCTGACAAAAGGACCTTTTGTTGTCATTGATTGCTCGCGACAAAACGAATCTGTCAAGAGCGCCACCGTAGATGTGCGAATAGAATTTGACTGTAAAGAGAATGTACCGGCAAATACTACCGCCTATTGTCTCATCTTGCATGATCGCGTAATCGAATACTGTCCGTTGTCGAACGTAGTGCGCAAAATCATGTAAATTGCAATATCAGCAGATATTGCAATATAAGCAGATATTACAATATAAGAGACACTGAAGTGCTGCGATAAGATACAGATTGCTCCATCGTTTCGTCATGATCGTACCGACGTTTGTCGATCTGCAAGGATTTACCGTCGAGATTAAATTTGTCGTGAAAGAGGTGGCGGTTCTGAGAAACGGAACCGTTTTGGCGCATTACATTTTTACATGTCCCATGCCATGGAATCTCCTCATAAAATCCGACAAGTCATGCGCTTCCTGGTTGATTGCAAATCACCATGGACTACGATGGGAGGATGGAAATATGCCGTACAGCATGGCGAAACATCTAATTATATCGGCCGTACTTGGAGAGGGCGACGAGACATCGACTCTTGTGTACGTCAAGGGATGCCAGAAACGAGAATGGCTGGTGGATCTGCTTGAGAATAAAACGAGAAAAAATCCACAAATTGAAACTTTGGTTACAGATTACGAAGATATCGAATCTTTAAATAATCTAGATGTTACTAATACTGTAAGATGCGGAAAACATGTTAAGAATTGCGCATTACAAAATGTATTAAAAATATTTAACTAGTAGTCGCGACACGAGAAAAAATTATGATTTTTTTTAAATAAACTATATGTATTGTGACGTTACGGCCCGCCGCTTCGTGGCAGCGCCCCGCTGCCGTCACAAGGCGCGGAAATTCGCGCCCAGGGACGAACCAGAGAGGCGACGACGAGATTTCCAGAGGTCAAAAATTTATATCATTTCCGCGTTTTGACTATTGTTTTATTTTTATATAATTGTAATACGCGCGGCGCCTCACCCCACCACGGCGAATCTTCGAGGAAATACACGTAGCGGAAGGGTCCGGGAGGACCAAGGACCGAGCATGGGTGGCGAGGGCAAAAGCGGAAACCACTGGGATCCCGGGCGGCGAGAGCAACGCGGCAAGCGTACGGCGCGTGAGGCAGCGATGGACAAAGCCGCCGATAGCGGGGCCTCAGGCGCCTGGGGTAAACCCGGCCTCAGCAATCTGCCTCCACGAAATACCGGCCCGCGGGGTGACTGATCACCGCCCCGAGGTCAAACCGGAGGCACACCGGCTAGAACGAAGTCCAGTCCGCTGTCCAGGGACGAATTGAAGGAGTCGCTACGCCGCCGAGAGACCGTTGCGCGCCCCCGAAAAATCCACCTTACGACAATCCTGCGTTAAAATATCGCGCTAGCTTGCAAGCTCGCTCCCGATTGGTTGGCGCGCCCCTACGGAAGGGGGTGCCACATCGATTCCGCAATCGAGCGGATTTAGCGAGACACTCTCTGGTCGTCCGTCGGCGAGGCCGAACATGGCATAAGGCAAAAGTCATTCGAAATATCTTTGGGCCTACCGATTCCGTGATCTTCTCGCCTAGCTGCCCATCAAGTTCTGTGGCACTTTTGATAATAACAACGCCCTTGGTACCGGTCTTCAAGCTGCTCACAAACTCCTCTCCAGCACCCGAGGACGTATCGCCGTTTCCAAACATGCCTGCCTAATGTCGATCCAGGGGCCCTGTAGCCGAAAGAAGATCCCAGTACTAGAGTGAACAAAGACCTGCACATCTTAATCCCACAACGAATTTCTACAAGAGATTCGCTTTGGATTGCAGCGGACAACAGATTGCGATTGATCTGTTCTTACTGAACAGTCAATAGTAATCAGCGATCTGGCAATTTTATGTAAGTAAATCTATCTTCTCAACTTAATATAATTATAATAAAATGATGATTTTATACTAAAACTGAATTTACAAGTAATTAATTTTTATAATTGTAATTTTTTAGAAAGATTACTTCATCGTTATTTGACGAGAAGGATTGGCTTTGAAGCGGTGATGTGGCTTCGCGGTCTCAGCATCCACGTCTTCCACGGTAGCTTCTTCGATCGACTGATGTCTTCTGCTTGCTGAACATTAATTCAGACACCGGTTAATTTTACTGTTATATTAATTATGTATTAATATTATGTATTAAAATTAATATGTTATTAATTAATTTTAAAGTTATTAATTACGTAATTATTATGTAATTAAAATTAATATAACATATAACACAATATATGAATATAATTATAAGTAATTATATTAATAGGTTATATTACATTAATTTTTAATGTTACACATGTCTTGAAAATAAAAATTAATTTATAAAATAAAATTGTGTATTTAGTTTATTCTTTTATACTAACCCCGATATTACAGTATCCAGTTGATATCTTAAGATTTTCCGCGGCGCACAAGATACATTTCGTGAACCTCCACCTTGTATAGTTCACTTTGACAGCTATCATACCGTTCACTACGTGTATACAGAGATGGTGGATCGCGATCTCAAAATTTCTGCGCGTTCCAAAAATCATCAAAAAAAAAGTGTTGCAACCTTTCCGTGAACGACTGTACATACATATGTGTTTTTATAATATATTATTTCTTTTATACAGTTTTTTATAATCAGTCTGTAGATTTTGATTTAAACTTACAACTTATTACAGTCCACTTTATGTTTCTTTTTTTTTTTAAATTGCATTCTGCATTTAATATAACAAGACATAAATAATATTACGTGAGAGTAATTGTATTTATAAAAACATTTGTCTTATTTTAACATGTCTGCATATACATAAGGAACACATGCATATATAAGATAATTTTAAATAAATAAGGTTATCAATACCATATCTATTTAATTTTAATATTCAAATATAAGTTTTTCAAGAGTTTATAATAAATATTTGGTTTATTTTATTTTTATATTTTTTCGTTATTGACATTTCTAAAATTGTAATTAATACTTCAATTTTCTTTCTAGAGGTTTACTATCTGTTTTTTGCTATAATATATGTATATGTTATGTATAGGAGCACGTCCAGCAGCACAATAAGAAGAGAAAAAAATCCGCGGAAGAAAAAATTGCAACAACGCATTGTACGATTACAAGGGAGAATAAAAACACTGGACGAAAGAAACAGACGGCTTCAGAAGAAAGTGAAGATTTTAATTGTAAGGAAGAAGAAAGCAGAAAGAGAGAAGCTTAAGGACCATGAGATTTTACGTCAATTAGGCTGTAAGTTTTTTTCTCCGACTTTCGCACGATTGTTATCTGCCCAAATTGATGCGCAAATTAAAAGCAAACGTGGAAGACGGTATAGTTCCGAATTTAAACAATTTGCTTTAGGTATTGTCACGTCTGACGGTATAATCACCGCTATATTCCAGCCGCATAAATTTTTTCGATTTCCATCTCTATTGCACAGCACCTGAAAACAATATAAGAATAAATAATCACACCTTAACTTAACTGTCACAACAATCACTCAGCTGATGCAAGCACGCGTTCTTAAAGTAGTAAACACAAGCCTAGAGAACATGGCTGCCTTAAGGTACCCTTTCAAGCTTAAGCCCCATTTTCATGAATCACACTATAAACTTTTGGACAATTGCTTGTTAAAACTCCCCAGAATCACTAAAATTGATCGTAAATGAATATTACAAGCTTTATGAGATCCTTTATGCAATATAAATTCAATTCAACACACGAATAAATACATAAGAATAAACTCAGAAAATTAAAATAAAATATAAATAAATTAATTAAAAGTAGATTATTCATAAGAACATAACCTTTTATGCTTAAGGAACATTTTCACGCTAAAATAATAATTATCTCATTAGCATTTTTTTTAAACATAATTGTTATAAACAATTAAATTATATTATTAACAGACCTAGCTAATGTAACTACTGGAACTATCACAAAAAGTCAAACAACTTTTGGTTATAAATCATTATTGTATCTCTCAAAATAAATTAATTAACAATAAAATTTATCATAAAATTATTATTAAAAATGATGAATAAAATCACTGCAGACACTCAGCAGAGCATGTCAAGTAACCTCACAAAAACCCTCACATCATATCTCTTCTTAATTCCGAGATATAATTAAAAATTACGGAAATTCATAAAACACAGAAATTTTAAACAATTTAAAATAATGCCCTTAATTGTCTGAATACCACAAAAAAACCCGATTTTTTTTATCTCTTACCGTTCTCGAGTTATAAATTATTAAAGTTTCACATCTGCCATTTTGAATTTCCTACCCTTTAGACTTACAAAGACCAAATCACTTTTACATTAATATTTTAGTCTTTTATACATTTTAAGACCGAAAAATTTCATTTCAGAACGAAAATTTTGACACTTAATTATTATGATAAAAATGGAATATTTTATACTCTTAAACACCAGTAACGTTAACGCCGATTTTCTATTTAAATTAATTAAATTAATAAACGAGATTGAAAATTGAACATTCACTCCATGAAAGACGAGGATAGTTTAATACCAGTTCACAGAGAGTAAGACAAGGATAGCCATATAGACTCTTAATAAATTAAAATAAAAATGAAAACAAATAGACGGAGATA